CGAGGCGGCTTTTTTCAGCTCAAAAAGTGGGCTGAAAAACTAGGCTTATACTTGAGTATATACAGTAGTCTAGATTATAGAAAGAAGAGAGTTATGACATAATTTTAGAGAAAGATATAAAAAAACAGTTGAACTTATAACTGCTGTAAAGAAGATCAGAAGCTACTTCTTTATATCTTTTTTCTTTTCTATTTTTCTACTGTTTTTTTTTGCACTTTAGTTTTCTCTTTAATTCCTTTTTCTTTTTTTCTTCCTCGTATTAACTTTGTATTAATTTTTCTCTTATTTTTCAAAACTTTAAATAAAATTATTTTTAAAAATGAATTAATCACAAGCCACTCACAGAGGACCATAAAATGTTAACACAAAATGAGGAAATGGCAGCGCTACTCCTATTTGGTCACTGTCTTCACTAAGGAGGCAATTTGTGATCCACCAAGCAGTTGTGAAGAGCAGAACAAAGAGGCAGGATTGAAGCTTGAGATTGATAGACCCATGGTCAATGGATATCTATTTACTTGGAGACTAAATCTCCAGGGACAGATGAATTGCATCCTAGGATACTAAAGGAATTTGCTCATGAGCTAGCCAAATGTTTATACAGTCTGAGAAACCCTGGTGAGTGGGTGAAGTGGCTGATGATTGGAAGAGAGCAAATATTACCCCTATCTTCAAAAAGAATAAGAAAGAGATTCTGAAGAACTGCATACCAGTCCATCTGACATCAATATCTCATCAGATTCTGGAGCAGGTGATAAGGAGATTAATCTGTTAGCACTTGAAAACAGTACAGTAGTTACTAGACTTCAACAAGAATTTGTGAAGAACAAGTCTTACCAGACTAATCTTTTCTTATTATTTGATTAGGTAATTTCCTTAGTACATTGTCAAATGCTTTGCAGAAATAAAAATATAATAGAGTTACACACAAAATTCCCATGATATGGTAATTAGCAAGTAGGAGTTGGATGGCACGACAGCTAAAAGTTACATACAGCAGACTCAAAAATTATATTCAAAGAATGGTCATGAATAGTTCCTTCTCAAACTTGAGTAAAGTGAGCAATCAAATGGAGCACTGGATGCTTCAAGATTTTCATAAATTATTTGTATGAAGAGTTCAGTGGGAATGCTAGCTAAATTTCCAGATAACTCATAATTGGATGGGACAACTATATTCCAGAAAACAAACATAAAATTCAAAACTATTTTGGTAAACCTAAGAAATAGGCTGAACAAAAATGAAAATTAACAATTTTTCTGTTAGAAAAATAAATCTAATTCAAAGGCAAAGGGAAAGAGTATATGTGAAAAACATCTAGTAATTAGTTAATCAAACTGAATAAGAATCAGCAGTGTGATATGATTGAAAAGAAAAAGCAAATACAATTTTGGGTTATATCAATAATTTCCAAGTAACAGAAAACAATTCTATATTACTCTTTGATGATCAGACTCCAACCAAATTCTGGGCAACACAGAATTAACCCAGAAGTTAATTTTAAGAGCATCTGTCTCTATAGATAGATTGTGTTTAAAAGAAGAGGAAAAGGCTGGTTTGAAAGTGGATTTAAAAATGACAGGCTTCAAGAATGACATGGAAAAAGATGTTACATTGGTCATACAAAATAAATTCATTGATATTTTGAAAATTAAAAGTGGTATACAAATAACAAACTAAGTGAACTAGACAATTTTTCTATTTACAAAGGAGGCTTGTTAAAGCTTTGAAGAAGTTTGTGAAAAGGGACAAAAACATATTAAAATAAATCAAGTTCTAGAATGTAATTTGAAGGGGCTAAAGATCAAGATTGTTAGAAGTAAAAAGAAAGAATACCAAGTTGGCTTCTTTGATCAAGTTTAAAACAGATATGTTTCTAACACTGGTAACCTTTAATTGATTTTTACTGACATCAGGATTGAAATTACAAAGTTTATGTACTTGTTTATAGGTAAGAGGGGATATGGGAAGAAGATATCATTTGTTGTATTTTAAGAGAAAAAAATGTTTATATTTCTTGTAATGAAGGGGGAAGTCACTTCTTTATATATTTCTTTTTCTTTACTAAATTCTTATTTTTTAATTTTTCTTTTTCTATTATTTTTCTTTTCTGCACCTTTTCTTTCTTTTCTTTCTGAGTTTGTATTGTATTCCAAGTCCTTCATAAAGTTATTGTTTTTTTTTTAAAGAACAAGAGATTCGGCTTAAGGGCCTCATTGCCGCCTTCATCTATGATTTTATTCAACTCGATGTCTGAGAATCTCTGCAATTTATCAGATAGTGCCAACTTACACCTGAAATTTGAATCGCTGGTATGTAAAACAGATACGTCTGTGCAGACTGATCCCATCAATTTGCCCAATAGGGATGTGCATAGCCGTGTTTCCAATTTCACCATACTGATCCAGAAAGGCAATTTGGCAGCAAATGAAATACAACCGTTATGTTACAACCCTCTCGTCGCTTCCATCAGCCAATTGCCTTAGGGCTCCAACTGCATCAGCTCCTTTGACACAATGGGTTCTAAGGGCATTAGTTGCCAGGTGTTCTTGTATACATCCATTGAAGACTGTCTCTAACAACTTTAATCACTACTTCAAGTGAGATCCAAGAAAAGTTGAATCACAGGCAAATGTTAAGGAAATTAGAATAAAGGCATTGCTTTATTTCTTTAAGAGTAAAAGCAGGTACTACACATATTTCTATCATCATGTTATTATGATAAGAAAAGATGAGTCCTTGAAGTAATCAATGAGATACCGCTCCCTATCTTTAGAATTGCTTTAAAGTAAAGGTAAAGATTTCCCTCACACATATGTGCTAGTTATTCCTGACACTAAGAGTCGGTGCTCATCTCTGTTTCAAAGCCGAAGAGCCAGTGCTGGCCGAAGAAATCTCCGTGATCATGTGGCCGGCATGACTAAACATCAAAGGTGCATGGAACGCTGTTACCTTCCCACCAAAGGTGGTCCCTATTTTTCTACTTTCATTTTTTACGTGCTTTCGAACTGCTAGGTTGGCAGAAGCTGGAACAAGTAATGGGAGCTCACTCTGTTACGCAGCACTAGGGATTTGAACTGCCGAACTGCTGACCTTTCTGATCGACAAGCTCAGCGTCTTAGCCACTGAGCCACCGCATCCCATTAACAATGTCAATAATCAGAAGGGGCATTGTAGCCAGTTTCTCAAATGCACA